AACTTGACATTGAAGGGACGGATTGTGGTGAGGGATTGGTTTCAAAGAGCAGAAGTAGTGTGAATAGGAAAGAAAATTTAGAAATCAAGTTTTATTGAGTAATGGTGAGTGGTAATATACAATCATAATGATGATGATGAATAATTCTGCGTAGATATTCTGGCAACCTAATCATCTTCTTCGCTGAAGGTATAGAAACACCGGAGAGAGCCGCTTGAACCTTTGATGCTGATCTTTTGTTGATAATTTTTCTTGGCATTTCGTCTGAAAACCCATATTAGTTTGCCTTATATATATACTATTTATAATTCAGACAATTCTAGAGGCGGTTATCGTCTTACTTAATCGTATCTATCTATCCGTACATCGTATTATTTACGAGTTTTCCCGCGAAATAAAGTTTATCAAGTTGTGAACAGGAGGAATCAATATTAAACACATTAAAAGACAGTATGTTTAAAGCATTCGAAGGTTTCTGCCAATACACTGGTTCTATCTTGTGGATAGATTCTCGAGAATTTACCGCATATATTTATTTAAACTCGAATATATAGTAATTCATTAATACAGTATATACAGTAAAGTAATTGTATAATAAAATATTTCAAATAATTAAAATTCGTATTATTTAGTGTTTCTTTTTTTTTTCTCATAAAGATATTATCCAGTTAGCTCTTACCAGTCAATTTCTTTCAATAATATACTGTATAATCACAAAAATATTACGAGATGCAAAATTTATACAGAATAAAAAAAATAAACAATTTACAATATCCTAATTTACAGTCACCTGCATGAAATGTTTTTAGATATATACAGTATTAGTAAGTATAATAAATAATGATGTTTTTTTAATAATTATATTAAAAAAATTACTTTTACAATAAATCTTAGAGTTTAATTAAAACATGATATTTTATATATTTATTAACAAATAATAATTATTATTAAGCATTTTATATATATTTTTAACAAATAATATATTCATTAACCATGACATCAATTCAATTTGTTCAATTTGTTCAATTTGAAATTTTCGATTATCTGACTAAAAAAATAAACATTGTCAAGTGTTATAAAATTTATAAAGTGACAAATGTTGAATATATAATTGCATTAGTTGGTTTGCCTAATTTTATGTAAATTAAATAATATATAGTTTTCTTAAGTATACACTGTGTATATCATTATTTATACTGTATATTCAAATAAAAAATATAATGATGTATATCACATATTTAAAAATAAATAATTTTAATCAATTATCTACAGTAATTACATGCATACGTATATGTAGTATGTTACTGCATATGATCAATCTATAAAAAAATAATGCTATTTATCATTCGAATGTAACATTTGTTAGAATTTCCTTTCGGAAAATTTTTTCAACAATTTTATTAAAAAAGGATGCAGTGAATTATACAAAAAATGAAATGGATTGGAAATTTTTTTTTCAATTAAAACAATGTTAAACTTTTTGTCAAGATAAATCCATTTCAAATATAAATTGATTCAAGATCGACAAAAAAATTTTTTATATTAATAAATATGTGTAAAAAATTTTCAAATTATAATAAAATCCAAAAGATGTGATAATCATCTTGTCTCCTCAAAAATAAAATTATAAGATCATACTTTGTATATAAAAATCATGTAATTCAATAAGATTGGATTTAACCAAGGATAATACAAGTGTATTATTTGATTTATCATATTATTTTTAATCTTATAATGTTCGAATTATGATGGAAATTGATTTAAATAAACAATGATTCAAAAAAAAAAAAAAACTATTGTATTTTGAAAATACAAAATGTAACTTGAAGAATCATCATCATAAAGAATTTATTAAATTGATGCCTGGAATGTATGTGGGTGCTTATTAAATATTGACATTAACATTTATATTAGCCTGTTCGCTTTTTTTTTTATGGTTCGCGATGTTTTAATTTAAATATCACATTCAAACCGTCCTTATTGTCCTCCAAAAATTCATATCACATGCTCGAAATAATTTATGGTAACGATTTATGCAGTACACACCAGTTTCCCTTCGATCTCTTAGCTTTCATTCAGGAAGTGTCAAGTAAATTTTATGAAAGATTATCCCGTGACCTCGAAAAATTCTCGAATATGGTGACAACTACTGTATGATGTCGTTATTGAAGTTGACGAGTCGCCCCTGAGACAATCTTACAATGCGTATTCATTTATTCAATTATTTTTTACGTCGTCGCGTCGTTGTCCCTCTCTTTATAAAGAAAAATATTAATACTACTTAAAAAACAAATATCTCTGCCTAATAATATTAAAATTACTGTACAAAATAACCTGACAATTCTTATGACATAGGTGGTACTATTAACTTGGAAAAAGTAGAAATCTCCATAGTTGCCAACCTTTTGAATACTGCTTATGAATTTTTGCCCTTGAAAAATTAGTTACCTATCTTCAATCATTTTCTTGTTAAAAATCATGCCTCAATCTTCGAAATTCGATAACCTAAGTTTCCGCGATGACTGATTTAAGCGTTTCAACAGTTCTATAACGATGTTATCGTAAATCATCCTCAAATGGTCTTTGATTGTGAGGAATACGCTTCATTATCGAAAAATGCATTGGATGCATCACTTCTTTAAAGAGGCGATTGTAACTAGAAAATAAAGATTTGGAGACATATTATTCAATGGGAAAGGCACAAAATCGATATCTGCCAATCAATATAGAAAGTAAAGTGAATATGGTTTCTAGGCTTAAAGAACTCACCTCAAGACTTTCTTCACCATATAAGATATTTTCGAATTTCTGGAATGAATATCAGAAAGGATTTGAAACCCTTATAAAAAATCCTATCACCCGGTCTTTTAGATGAATTAGCACAAAAATTACAGCACCATAATTATTCGTTTCTTTAACAATACTACCAGCTCGAGGTCTTACTATTTCATAATTGTCTTTATAAGAAATTACTAAAATGTCAAGTGTAATTACGTATGAACATGCGGTCCAAATTTATTCCTAGATAGAAGAAATCACTTATAGCGTTAATGACAATCCATATAAGTTCTACATATTTAATCAGGGGAAGCTAACATGGGTTTGAATATAATATATTTTGAAAGAAGTGCGATTAAAAGAGTAGCCCGATGATATTAAATTTTTAGGCGAGTATAATCATATTGAATAGGATTAAAAGATTCAATCGTATTCGAGAAGTAAAGACTCTTTTCTGTTTTCATTAAAAACCGAGAGCACAAATGACTCGAGTCGTAAATACCAAGAGAGCGATTATTAAAGACATGGTGGCCCAGCATTCGGTTAGTATTATCAGACTGCGCACGGGAAATAAATAAAAGATCATTTACTGTATTTAGGTTAGATGTCACGTTAATATATTCCTTCCCAATCATAATTAGCTCATTATTGGATTATTTAATCGCATACGAAAATATCTAAGAAAGGTCTTTGAAAAATAAATATTCAACTTTACACAAAATAGTTTATTTACAAATATTTGATACTGTTCCAAGGTGATCAAAAAATACAGCGTCTCATAACTTCAATAAACAGACCAACTTTAAATTATTGGCTGCTGGGAGGATACATGTCGAATTTTCTAAAAACTTGAAATACTTCATATTCGTCGATAGAAAATTTTTTTGTACTCCTAATTTTCACTTGGTAATTTTTAAATTTACACTTACATTGATCATTTTTTTCTACACTGTTGAAGGTTTTTCCCATAAACATATCTCGTTTACCAAATTTTGGGCCATGTGAACGACAAATATAGATGGCCTCATCAACCTTGTCTTTTCTTACTCGACTGACTATAGATTTCTGTTTACCATTTTTAAGCGAAAAAAGAAAACTATTTTCAGTTCTCATATACCCATTTTGTTTCATCGACCATTCAAGCGGATTATACCCTCCGGTAATCTCGTTAGTTCCGCGAATTCTCATCACTAGCACTGTATGGTCATGTCCACCGCATTTACTCCAAAACATTTTATGGTCGAATCCAGACTGACTTCCACGAATAAGTA